TGCTGTTGTTGCTTTTGCTGCTGCTGCTGTTGTTGCTGTTGCTGCTGCCGTTGCTGCTGCTGCTGCCGTTGCTGCTGCTGCTGCTGCAGTGAGATGCTGCGTCGTTCTTTATTAAAGGAGGAGTTTATAAAAGGAAGAAAGAAATACTCAGGCGCTACTGTACTCATGTATGTTGTCTCCTTTTTTGTCTCCTTTTTTGTCTCCTTTTTTGTCCCCTTTTTGTCTCCATTTTTGTCTCCTTTTTGTCTCCTTTTTTGTCTCCTTTTTTGTCTCCTTTTTTGTCTCCTTTTTTGTCTCCTTTCTGTCTGCTTATTGTCTTGTGTCTCCTCCCTCTTAAGTCATGCTCATCTCCTTTTTCTTTTAATGTGCTCGTGCTCCCTCTGCTGCTGCTGCTGCTGCTGCTGCTGCTGCTGCTGCTGCTGTGCAGGCCTGGAGAAGCTGCTCATGATTTTCTTTGTGAGAATCGTCCCTTTGTTATTCGCGTTTGTCTTCCCCCCAATTCCCCCCCGCCGCTGCCTGCAACAACAACAGCAGCAACAGCAGCAGCAACAGCAGCAACAACGGCAACAACAGCAACAGGAAGAGGTCCTCCTACGTGGCAGCAGCAGCAGCAGCAGCAGCAGCAACATTCTGCTGCTGATTATTTATCTTCTTCTGTCTCCTTTTGTCCCCCGTTTACACCTAAAACTGTCCAAGCTCCCATGCAGCAAACTGCTGCTCCTCCTCCTCCTCCTCTTCCTCCTCCAGCTCGTGCTGCTGCTGCTGCTGCTGCTGCACCTCCTGCTGCACCTGCTGCTGCTGCTCCCTCGTCATCCTCAGGGATGCATTGGGGTGACAACGAAAGGCCGCGCAGTGCAAGAGCAATAGCAGCAGCAGCAGGTCTGCTGCGTACAGCAGCAGCACCAAGTGCTGCTGCTGCTCCTGCTGCTGCTGCTCCTGCTGCTCCTGCTCCTGCTGCTGCTGCTCCTGCTGCTGCTGCTGTTAACACTGCAGAGACAGCACGACGCCTTGCTCCTGTCCCTCCTTCTCTCTTCTACGGATATGAGTCTGATTCAGAAGACACGTGCATGCGCATCAACTTCTCTCCACCTGCTGCTGCTGCAGCAGCAGCAACAGCAACAGCAGCACCTGCTGCTGCACCAACAGCAGCACCTGCTGCAACACCTGCTGCTGCAACACCTGCATCACCAGCAGCATCACCTGCAGCATCTGGTACAGCATCACCTACTGCAGCAGCAGGGGCAGCAGCAGCTGCTGCTGCTGCCCCTGCTGCTGCTGCTGCAATTCCAGCTGCTGCTGCAGCAGCGCGGCTCCCGAAAGCGAACATTTTTGCGGGTTTAGCTTCAGGACGCTTGCAGCAGCAGCAGCAGCAGCAGCACCTTCCCCAGCAGCAGCAACAACAACAGCAGCAGGAGCAGCAACAGCAGCAGCAGCAGCAGCAGCAGCAGCAAGTAGATCCTGCTGCAGTTAGTCGACGATTAGCTGCATTACGCAGAAATGGTGTCTGTGGGGTTTTACCTTCTATGTGGTTATCTTTACTCTTTTTTTTTATTTAATTTTATTTATTTATTTATTTATTTATTTATTTATTTATTTATTTATTTATTTATTTATTTATTTATTTATTTTTTATTTAATTTAATTTAATTTCTTTTTTATTCGTGTCTTTGTTGTTGTCTTATAATTGTCCCTTCTTTTTATTCTTTTTTGTCTCCCCCCTTGCATGCAGCAGCAATATAATCAGCTAGCTAGGTAGCTGCAGTAGCTAGCTAGCTAGCTAGCTAGCTAGCTAGTCAGCTAGATAGCTAGCTATTGCTGAGTATGGCTACCCGGTGCTGCATGCACAGTATAAATAAATAAATTATATTAAAGGAGGGATTCAGGTGTATAGGCAGCTCTCTTTCCCTTAATTAGAGCTGCCTATACACCTGAGAACCTAGCAGCAGCACATAGCTGAGGTGTACGTACACCATAAATAACAATAATAAAAATAAATAATAAATAAATACATATAATTATTTAACTGTATGTGCTGTGCATGCAGCACAGCATAACGATCCTCAGCAATAGCTAGCTAGCTAGCTAGCTGGCTAGCTACTGCAATTAGCTAGCTAGCTGGGGTCTTCGTCAGTAAGAACACAGCTAGCTGCAGCAGCTCACATGTATCTGCTCTGCTGCAGCAGCAGCAAGTTAGCAGCAGCTGCTGCATCTGCTGCTGCAGGGATTATTTAGATGCATGCGTTGCTGCAGTATATGAGACAATGTCTCCAGTGTATCTAGCTGCTGCTGCATCTAGCTAGCTAGCTACCTAGCTAGCTAGCTGCTGCTGCTGCTGCTCTCTTATTTTGCGTATCTGTGTCTTATATAGCAGCTAGATACATAAGGTGTATATGTATATATAATGTATAAATAGATGCATATATAGATATGCATGCATAATATAGTAAATATAAATAGATAAATATAAATAAATAAAAGGATATAAATAAATATATATAAT